CTCTGGACACGCTCCTAGGCTACTCTCCCCTCCATACTCAGTCCATGCCAGAAGGGCGCCCTGTGCCCTGGGCTCACTGGAGGACCAATTTTCCCTTGAAGCTCAGAGAGGTCGAGGGATGTGCATAGGATCACACAGCAGTCACAACATCAAGCTCCCTCTGAGGAATCCCAAAACCTCAGAGAAGAGTGGAACATTGCTCACCCCATTCTTGAGAGCCTCGGGTGCTGACCACTTGACTGGCAGTCGGCTGGAGTCCAGTCCCTTCCGCTCAGCCTTGGCTAGGCCAAAGTCACTGACCTTGGCCACCAGGTCCTCAGAGACCAGGATGTTGCGAGCAGCCAGGTCCCGGTGCACCAGCTTCTTGCTTTCCAGGTACTCCATGCCTTCAGCAACATGTCTGGGGACAGACAAGGCCCGTCACCCTGTGCTCAGGCCTCAGTTTCCCCTTCAACTTTGGGACCTACCTTCCTGGAAGGAATGTCACTTACAGGGAAAACTGCAGGAGCTGAGATGTGCTCACGAGGGCGCGGCCCCGCGTGCGCAGGAAGTTCACCAGGTTGCCCTGTTTGGGGGGGAGGGACCTGGGGGTCTCCAGGCTGTTGGGCCACCCTGCCCATCCACCCATCTGCCACCCCACACACCTTGCTCACGTGCTCCATGACAATGTATAAGCCGTGGTGCAGGATCACGCCTAGGAGCCGTACCAGGTTCCTGTGCTGCAGCTTTCTGGGGGCGCGGGGCGGGGCGGGAGGTGGGGGTGGTGGGAAGTGAGTACACACCGGCACCCCAACCCTGGGACCCAGCCCCACCCGGCCACTCACGTCATCACGGCCGTCTCATCCAGGAAGGCCTGGGCTGTGACGTCACACTTGATGTTCTTCACGGCTACCTTCTGCCCCAGGTACTCACCCTGCAGGACGGCTGTGGGCGGGGATAGAGCTCAGAACCCACCAGCAAGACAGATAGACCTGCTGCAGCCCCGCCTAGAATCCCCCAGTGAGGGGCTGGGGGCGTGGCCTTGATCCATCCCCAGTCCCCAAAAGAGAAATAGTTAATGCAAATACAATGGCTGTCTCACTATTCAGAATTCAAATTTCTGTTCCATGAAGAAGCCCACAGGTCCTGCCCATGTTTGCATAGTTTCCTGCCGCTCGGGACGGACAAGGCATGGTGACCGACCGCGGCGGCGTGTTTACTGTCCTCTGGTCTAAGTCCCGGATAATGCGCACAGGGAAGGCATTCTGAGCAGAGCTCCTAGGCGGCGAGGGCGGGGCTAACGCCCAGCCACCTGTCCAGCCTGGGAGGTGCCAGCATTGCCTTCTGCGCCCCCTCCTCACCTCCGAACTCCCCCTCTCCAATCTGTGCTCCCAGAGTCAGGTGCTGCAGATCGAGTAGCCAGCCAGCTGCAGGGGCAGAGAGACCTGGTCAGAGCCACAGCCCTTCCCATTCCGCCTGCGTCCAGTGAGCTGTGGAGGGAGCGCTAACATCCCTAGAGCTAGCTACGCCTGTGCCCACCCAGCAGCTGCCCCAAAGCTGTATGGCAGACATACAATGTCCGGTGCCAATTACAATCCTGCAAGTCACAGACTGTCCCAGGAGGCCATCAGAATTCAGTCCCACCAGGTTCCCCAGACCCCACCCTCCAAACTTCCCGGGGCCACACAGGTTCTGGAATATTCCTGATCTTGCCTCTGGCAGGCTTTTGCACTCTATACACACCCTGCTTCTGGAAGGCCCCTCTTTTCCCCCAGAGCTCTCTAGTCCCCAGCTTTGAAGAGTCTAGCAGGATAGACACCTCGCTCTATCCTGGGTTTGTCTCTGGGGCTCCAGGCCCCACAGGAGACATGTGACAGCCAGGCTTGGAAGACTTTAGGGCTTAACCAAGCCATGGCAGGGGCTTAAGGATGAGAGGTTGAGGCTGAGAGGTGGGAGGGTAGGGTTGCATCTGGGCTGGTGTATATGAGATCTCATACCCTTTGCGAGCTCCTCCTCGGCCGACTTGGCACCCTGTTTCCTCTTGGGCTTCACCAGCTTGGTGCAGATGGCCCCCTTGTCTTTGGTGTAATGCTGTAGGGAGTGGTAGCCATAAGCCTCTGCCTCCAGGGATCCCTGCCCCTTACTCCTCCCACCACGATCACCACAGTGGGGTAGACAGAATTACCCATGTACCAGACTAAGGTGACTGGGTTTCCATGGCAATAGTGGGGTGCAGAATGGAAAGTGAGGGGCGGTTGTTGTCCCCATGGGGCTCCCTGGAGAAGTGACCCCGGTTCTAGAAACAAGTGAGGCTCCTGGAGACACCCCCCCCACTCCATCTTGCCAGCCCTCCTGCTCCAGCAGTTTCCCACAGGTCACCTCCACCATGTCCATCAGATTACAGAAACACACGGCCTCGTCGATGGTGAGGTGGCCGTCTCGATGCAGGACACGGTAGTGGATGACATCTCGGCCAAAGCTAACACACAGGACGTAGTCTCCGGGGTGACGAGCCGACTCCCGCACGAGAAACAGCCCGTCCTCGGGTGGCTGCAGCTGCTGCACGGCTTCCTGGCCCGAGATCTTACCGTGAAACCATCTGTGGGGACCCGCGGGGAGAGGATACTGTGTGGCGCAGGACGGCTGGGGCCCTGATGCCACCCACCCCACCAGAGCACCACTCACGGCATGAGGCTGAGCTTGGGGTCCGCAGAGAGGGCCTCCCGCTGGCGCAGAGCAGTGGCCGCCAGCAACCCCTCCTGCCCACTGCCATGGTGCTTGGCACGGTACCAGCCCTTGTCCTGCACAGGGAGGGAAGGAGCTTGGGGAGTCTGTCCTGGCACCCCTAAATGCACCCCAACTGTTCTTCATCACCCCCCTTACCTCACAGACCTCCAAGATGGTCACCATGTCGCCCTTGCGAAAGGCCAGCTCACCGGGCTTGGGGCGTGAGTTCTCACACTTGGTCATACATTGAGTACCAGGGGCCCAGCGCCTCTGGGGATGAGACAGAGGCCGGGGGATGTCAGGGACACAAGGGAGCTGTGGAAACTGAGAGGGACAGGAAAACCTGGGAGAAACTGGGAGCTGGTGAAGGCAGGACAAGGGAATGACAAAGACACGGGCCAGTAGCCTAGCACTCAGGTGGCTGAGACAGGAGGATTCCAGACCAGTTAAAGGCCAGCCTGGGCTGCAGTGAGACTTTTCTCAAAAAACTAAAAAAAAATAATTCTGGGGGTGGTGGCCCACACCTGTAGTTCCAGAACTTGGGAGGCAGAGGCAGGTGGATTTCTGAGTTTGAGGCCAGCCTGGCCTATATACTGAGTTCCAAGCCAGGCACATCTGTATAGTGAGACCTGGTCTCAAAAGCAAAATAAAACAATAAATAAGTAAGTAAATAGATAAATAAAAGCAAACTTGGAGCGGATGGAAGGAAAACTGAGTCAGAGAGAGAAAGAGACCAGAATCACAGCCACATATAGAGGCCTGGGTGGTCAGACTGGCCTGGTCCCTGGGGGAATGTCAGGGGTGGGAGCTTGCCTCGGGGCGCAGGCCCTCCCCCAGGTCAGCCGAGGATGGTCTGGCGACTCACCGTTGGCATCCTAGCTGCGGCAGGCGAGGGGTGCCAGGCTCGGAGGAAGCGAGGGCTCACCTGTGGAGGAGTCAGTGTCATGCTTAGGAGATGTCCCCAGGTCCAGTTCCTTCCGCTGGGCCTGGCCAGGTGAAGGCAGCGGCAGCACCAGCAGGTAAAGAGGCTCCTCGATCAGCCCTCAGGGGGCTTAGGAAGTGATCCCCTCTGCAGCCCAGGCTTTGGGAGGTTATCTTTACCCGAGGGAGGTCCTTAGACTCCCAGCCATCAAAGGCCAGCCAGGAGACCCCTGAGCCTTGCCCTGCCATTGCTCTGGAAGGGAAACTGAGGCCTAGCGGCAGGAGTGTAGGGATCCGATGACTCTGGTGGCAGCCAGGGTTGTGTGTTGGGAGGACAGTGCCAGGAGCTGGGCCCGCAGCTTCCTCTTTCCTGGGCCGCAGGCAGGGG